AACTGCAACCGTCACGTGCCGCATCATCGCCCTGATCATCTTCGAGTAGTGCTCCGCCCAGCCGTTGAGCTCGTCGCCCAGCTTCCACTCTGGGTTCTCGGCAGCGACCAGCTTCAGCGCCTCCTGCGATGAGCAGGGCGGGAGGAGGAGGACGCGAGGGGGAAAGCCGAATCGGGGGGCCGTGGCTCATTACGTTCGACGGCCCAGCATGTCCTGTGCCGTCGCTGGCGTCACGGCTGTGGCCAGCGCCCGAGTGGCCACCAGGAAATCTTTCATCTCCAGCAGCACGTGCTTGTTCACTGAGCCAGTCAGCTGGTTGGTGTACGCTACGAACTCTGGCTCTAGGGTGTGGCAGCTCCACGCCGCCGCCAGGGCCGCCGAGTCCTTGAATCCCTCGGCTTTGCCCTGAGGGGAGGGGGGATGGCCAAAAGTAGATCGCCCTCCTCCTCCTCCTCCTTCCCCCCCTCCTCCTCCTCTCCCCTCCTCCCCCTCCTCCACCCCTCTTCCTCCTCATCCACATCCCACTGCTCCTCCTCCTCTTCCTCCTGCTCCTCCTCATCGTCATCATCGTCGCCATCATCGTCGCCATCATCGTCATCATCATCATCGCCATCATCATCAACATCACCACCACCATGGTTCTACATAGTTTTTTGGGGGGGTGCCTGCTCCTCGCACTCCCTGAGCGCCACCATATATGCCCTTTGGGCGACATCGTAAGTCGGGGCGCCCGATCGCTCTCGAGGATGTCCTCGCTGTCGCGATCGCTTTCGTCGAGGGGGGGATGGGGGTGGGGCCGAATCAGAGGGGGAGAGACATAAGGACAATCGGATATGTAGGGAACTGAGAACATATAGATATCCCGACTGAGGGGAGGATAAGGGGGAGGATGATGAGCGGAGCACGGAGGAGGAGGAGGGGAGGGGAGAGGAGGGAGGAGGAAGGCTAGAGGAGATCTTGGGGCAAGCATGCGGATATGCTCGCCGAGAGCGGGGGGGGGGAGAAGGAAGGGGCGGAGGAGGAGGAGGAGGAGGATGGGGGAGGAGGAGGAGGAGGTGGATGAGCAAAGTGCTACACGGAGGGCGGTTAGGGCGGGCATGACGCGGGAGTCGGCGAGCTGGAGGAGGATGAGGATAAGAGGGCGAGGTGGGCGGGGAAGGGGAGGGGGGCGGCTGCGAATGAGAGTGAGTGGGTAGATGGTGAGCGGGGGGGTGGATGGGGATGGGGAGGGGGAGAGGGGGGGGATTAGCGGAGGGGGGATGGGAGGGGGGCGAGGGTGGATGGCGAGGGGGAGGGGCGAGGAGGTCGAGGATAACAGGGGGGGTGGATGGGGGGGAGGGGAACGGTGAGGGTGGTGTTTCTGTTTCTCCTCCTCCTCCTTCTCCTCCTGATCCTCCTCCTTCTCCTCCTCCTCCTCCTCCCCCTCCCCGTCCTCCTATGTATCCTGTCCCTTCCCCTATCCCCATCCTCATGTTTCTCAAGTTTCTGTTCATCGGTTCCACCTCATCGTGCCCTCTTCTCTCCTCCCCTGCCTGCTCCTCCCCGTCCCCCCCGCCCTCCTCGTCTTCCTCCTTTTCCTCCGTTCCCCCCTCTTGTGTGTCCCCCCTCCTCCTTTTCTTCGCTGTGTTCCTTCTCCTCTTCGTTTCTCCTCCCTCCCCGCCCTCCCTCCTCCTCCTTCTCCTCCTCCTTCCCCGCCCTCCTTCCTCATCTTCCTCCTCCTCCTCCTCCTTCCCCTCCTCCTCCTCCTCCCCCTCCTCCCTCCTATACTCCGCATTACTCCTCCTCCTCCTCTTTTCTCACCCTCCTCTTTCTCCTACTCCTCCTCCCTCCTCCTCCTCCTCCTCCTCCTCCTCCTCCTCCTCCTCCTCCTCCTCGCCCCTCCTCCCCCATTGATATCCCGTCGGGCCTGGCCGCGGGCGCCCTTGGGCGGCATCGCGCGCGAGGGCCCGCGCGCGGCCAGCCAGCGCTGCGCCCTCGCGCGCTGGCAAGCTTGGTCCAGCAAGGGCCGCGGCCGACGACGACAGCCTCAAGGCGGCCCGAGATATTGCGAAGACGTCTCAAGCTGGAGCCGCGGAGCCACGCGAGGACGTCTCGAGCGAGAACCGCACGTTTTGAAATGGATTGCAAGATTGTCTCAAGCGAAAACTACGCACATTATTCTACATGTTGTCTACATACTTGACATATACTTATATAACTTAACAGTTGGTTATATGGCACGTGTGTTAAGATAACTTAACATGTTGTTATTTGGACCCCTGGGGAACTGGAACCGGAACCGGCACGGGACGCATGGATGAGCGATCATCCCTAACCGAACCAGGGAACCGGAACCGGAACCAGAACCGGAACCGGAACCATAACCAGAGCAGCGCGCGCTGCCTGAGGGTGGGAGGGGGTGATCCGGAACCGGAACCGGAACCGGAACCGGCACCGGGCGCATGGAGAGGGATCGGGATGAGAAATGATCGCTAACCGGAACCGGAACCGGAACCGGAACCAGAGCAGCGCGCGCTGCCTGAGGGGGGGGGTGATCCGGAACCGGAACGCAGACACCGGACACCGGAGACGACATGGCAACGAGGGATAGGGCACATATGAGGGAATGATCCCTAACCACGGAAACGCCGAACCGGAACACGGAACCGCGAACGGACCAGAGCAGCGGCACTTTTCGTGCCTGCAGGGACGGAGGGGTGGTCCGGAACCGGAGCCGGAACTGGAACCGGAACCGGGACCAGAGCAGCGCGCGCTGCCTGAGCGGGGGGGGTGATCCGGAACCGGAAGCGGAACCGGAAACGGCACCGGGCGCATGGGGAGGGATAAGGATGAGGGATGATCCCTAACAGGTTGATCCCTAACGAGAACCGGAACCGGATCCGGAACCGGAACCGGAACCAGAGCAGCGCGCGCTGCCTGATGGGGTGAGGTCATCCGGCTGACCTCGGTCGGCTGGCCCTAAATGAGAGTTCAATTTTCCGCTGCTGGACGGCGCCCCGCAGGGAATTTTCCGCCCTGCTGCACGGGTCGGGTCGGGCGTGCGGGACATTAAAGAATGATGCACCATCGAGTTGGCACGCGAGTACCCTAACGAGCGGGACGGGTCGGGCGGGCGGACCCTAACGGGCGGGACGGGTCGGGTCGGGCGGACCCTAACGGGCGACGCAAAACCGCTAAAAAGGAAAAGGCCTTTTCAGAACACGGCGGCACTTCTCAGACACCCCTGCGCCTTCTGAGAAGTTTTCAGCGTCTTCGGAGAAGGCTTAGGGCACTTTTCGGAAGACCCGGAGACTTCCGAGCCTTCTGAGAAGGCCCGCCCTTTCTCACTTCCCCCCGGGTTCGCCGCCGAAGATGGGGTCCGAGTGCGGTCGGACAGAGGTATAAGGTATAAGATCGATGTGAGTTCGGGGACGGTGGGAGGGTGCCCCCATGGTCTTCCTGTTTGGTGGAAGTTTTTGTGCATCCTTGGGGGGGTACCTTCGGATTTTTCAGTTTGGGACGGCGGGGTTACCATGTTCTTGAAGGATGCGTTTCTGTCCTAGGTCCGGCCGCGCGTGGGGTCGGAGGATCGTGCTGCGTCGCCCACGAATCGGCGATGCGGTTCGATGAGGAATTCGATTTTCTCCACGCCGACGTCGCCGATGCATCGCCGACGTCGCCAGTGCATCGGCGATGCGATGCATCGCCGATGCATCGGCGATGCGGTGCGATCCTCCGACCCCACTTGTTCCGACCCCGTCTGGGGGGTCTCTAGTCTTTAGTGGGGCCGCGTGGCTGTTGGTGCCTGCGGCGTCCTTGTCGTCCTCGCCCTGACGTCTTTCCTGGCCCTTGCAGCCGGTCGGTCGTTGTGGGCGTCGTCCTCTCCTCCTGCTCTTGCCCCGTAGCGCGGGGAGGCTTGATTGTATACCGTTTGGGCGTTTGCGCCGGAGATTCGTCGGAATCGCTCGACTGCTGCGCGGGGGGTGTTTTTGCGAAAGACGTTCCAGGCTGGCCTGTCGCGGAGGAGGGCAAGGAAACTGCGAGGAGGACGGGGAAGGGGGGGGCTTTGGTTGGGAAGGAAGCGTGGAGGAACTCTCTGTTTTGCTCCCGCCGAACCACATGGATTGGCAACCATGCGAGCGACTAGTGCAGGAAATGATTGCAAAGATCGGGTCCGTAGACAGATCCATGCCGCGAACCATCGACACCAGGGAAAAGGTCAAAGAAGGAGCGAAGGGTTTGCAAAGAACGGGGGGGGCACTCCA